ATGTTAAACAAGAGGCATCGTAATAATATATGGATTCTTAAATTGGATGATGGGGAATGGTGTGAAGACCAAGCTATTGTTCAAAGCCACGATTAATTTTTTTTGCAACCTTTTTTCCTCTGAACCTTGTCGTAATGTGGGAATGGATTGCTTGGGTGATTTTTAACAGATTGATGCAAACCGTTGGAGCTTTTTAACGCGCCCTGTGACCATTGAAGAGGTACGACAAACTTTATTCATGATGGATCCTTTAAAAGCTCCAGGTATTAATGGCTACCATGCGAGGTTTTCTTAGAAGAACTAGAGTACCTTGGGTGGAAATGTCTTTCATTTTGTGAATGATTTCGTTAAGACTGGTTCTTTACTGGAATTAGCAAATAAAACTCTCTTGGTGGTAATCCCAAAAGTCGAACTGCCTGAGAGGATCTCGCAGTTTAGGCCCATTAATTAACGCACTGTTCCCTACAAAATTATCACTAAAATTTTGGCTAATAGATTGAAGTCTCTGTTTCCGGATTGGATCTCCCAAAATCAAACTAGTTTTGTCCCTAGGAAAAATATAGTTGACAATATCATTATTTCTCAAGAAGGGATTCACTCCATGCATGGCAAAATGGGTTTGGCAGGATGTTTGGCTTGATGAATTCGGACCTCTCGTTGACCATAGGTTGCAGAATAATCTTCCTCAGCCCACTCCAGTATGCGAGATGACCATTGCTTATGGTGCATGAGATTGGGATAAGTTATAAAAACATGCATCCCGGAACAGGTTTGCAATCATATTGTTGCTATGTGTCCACCTAGACCCGATCTTGGCAACGACAACCCGGGATGGAGGTGGGAGGCGAATCATAGCTTTTCTGTTAAATCCACATATAATAAATTATCCCCTAGTGGCTCAAATGAGAGTGTGGATCCTTAGAGGGTGGTGTTGAAGCTAAATATTCCGCAAAGAATAAGGACAATTCTTTGGTTGGCCCTTCATGGACGGTTGATGACAAACAAGGAGAGGCACTGTCGCCATATTACTGCTTCTGCTAGATGCTTCTTGTGCCAAGTTGAAGATGAAGACATGAATCACGTCTTATGAAGATGCCCGTTTGCTTTGGGTGTTTGCCGTATACTGATTGGTAAGGACAAAATCCAACTCTTTTTGTCCATTCCCTATGTTGATTGGTTACCTATAAATGTGAAGAGCCAAGGTGAGTTCTCGATCAGTGGAAGTAATTGGAATATTTTGTTTGCTATCATTTGTTGGGAACTCTGGAAACGTAGGTGTAATATGCTTTTTCAAGAGAATTTCATCGAACATGAAGATTTTCTGGTGCATTCTGTTAGACTCAAGAATGAAATACTATCAAGCGAAGTCTTTGGGTCGAAGTTAAAAGGTATTGTTCGAGCTACTGATCGGTGGTGCAGGCCTGCCACGAGTTGGGTTAAAGTAAACTCTGATGGAGCTGTAGGAGGACCTTTGAAGATGGCAGCGGCGGGTGGAGTTTTGAGAGACGACCAAGCTAAATGGATTATTGGGTTCGCTCGTAGCCTAGTTATCTGCTCGGTTCTTATGGCAGAAATGTGGGCTATTCCTGATTCTTTAAGCCATGCATGGAACATAGGATTCATAAAGCTCGAGTTAGAATCAGATTGTGTTAAGGCAGTGGAGATTTTATCCACTGCATTTTTTAGCTACTTGGTCTTAATATTAACAGAGAAAAACTTTAACATTATTTGGCTACAAAAATGTATAAATAATAATAATATTAATAATATTAATAATAATATATAAAATACAATAAATTTAAATTTATTTTTTTTTGTCAAATTAAAGTTTATTTTCGGATTTGAATTTTTGACTATCCGATCCAAAATTTTAAATATCTAATTTTTATCGGATCAGATATGAATCATATTTTTAGTAATCCGAATTTTTAAATATCCGATATCTAAAAATACATATGGATAGATAATATATCTATCATTATGTTCAACCTTTGCAATAAATCAAGAAAATAGTTGCGAGAATATAACTATTTCTCGAGGCTTCCATTAGGCACAAATTCAAGTACCAATCCTTTAAAATTAAGGTTGCAATAGCATTGTTATATATTAATTCAAATTTTAAAAAATAATTAAATTAAATTTTATTATAATTCTAGTAGGTAAAGATTAGTTGGATTAAATTTATTTCGATATGAATTCTTATATAATAAAGATTCTTAGTGTACTAAGTTTGTTTTTCTATAAATAGAAGGTATGTTTAAATTTATAAAATTATGAGAATTAGTTTGAAGAGATGTATTTTTTATCTATGCAATTTGTAAGATTTATGTTACAAAGATGAGTTTTGTAAGAATGTTGAAAGAATATTTTGTGATACACTTGATAAATGAGATATGATATATTTATACTATTCATGATTTTAACATTTATAATAAATTATTGTTTCTTTCATTCGAAGATGCAACTAAGGACAACTACGTCAAATCTCATTTCTTATGCATGTCTTATTTCAAATTAATCCATTTTTTCGTTTCTAATTTCTAACAAGTGATATATAAGCTATGGTTTGACTCGTAAATATTTGAAGGAATTTATTGTTGCAGATATTGCTAAGAATATTGAAGACATGCAAAAAGAGTTTCATTTCAACGAGTTTTGAATTATATTAGAGTAGTTTTCAATCGATCAATAATATTTCATCAAATATTATGTAAGAATTGAAATTGTTTAGAACTTGGTGATAATACTTTAAAAAATATTTGACGTGATATATATCGAATTTGATTTATTTACTGTTTCGTACTCTTAATTGTTTTATATTTAGCTGAAACGATTGAGTGATAAGGAATTGGACAAAAATATCTCGAATATATATTAATTGAAATGATTGAATATATATCAACTTTTTATTAGATGGCTTCATAACTACCCTAAAAATTCCAGAAATACATTTTATTTAATATAACTATAATTATTATTTTTATATATTTCTGTTGTATTATTTAAAAAATTGTTAGCAATAATTCTTTCTTGACGAGAAAGATACAATACAAGTTATTTTAATTTTATATAAAAGAAGTATTAAGATAAAAACCTTTTATTTAATATAAAAAATTACTATTTTTATATGTTTCTGTTTTATCATTTAACATTTAATAGTAATAATTTTTTTCTTGACGAGGAAGATACAATATAAGTTATTTTAATTTGATATATAAATATTAAAATAAATAATTTTTATTTAACATAATTAAAATTATTATTTCTATATATTTATGTTTTAATCTTTAAAAATCTTTTAGTAATATTTTTTTCTTGAGTAGAAATACACATTATAAATTATTTTAATTTTATAAAAATATTAAAATAACTATTGTTTTTGTTGAGGATAAACATTATCGATAATAAAAAATAATAAAATAATAATAAATCTAAATCCTAGGAGGATATAGATTTCATTTACATGCCTATATATTCAAGAAAAATTCAAGAAATACAAACCTAAAAATCAAAACAAGATTCAAGGAATATAAACTTGAAAATCAATATGCAGTATCTTTCTCCAGGCATAGTCTTCAACCCTAATGACGTCGAGATACTTTCAATCTATCTCCCCATGCTCATCGCCAACAATGACAACGTGGTTGCAGGTTTAGATCAATTTAGTGATCTGTTCAAGGTTGGCAATGTTTACTCATGCAAACCAGAGATTTTCTTCTCAAACGATGAATCGGAAATACTTGACAGAGACAACCAACGATCGAGAGAAGATTGCACAGAAGAATCTTAACGCAAAAAGACCTCAGAGAGATGTGCATAGATCAGAAGGAGATGGTTTTTGGAGATCATCTACAGGTGAAAAACGGATTGGATTATGTATGAGTATCGGCTGAATCGACGTTTAAAGAATGGGTTATTTGTAAGATAAGAAAAACTGCTCGGAAGAGTAATTCTACTACCGCAACAATGGAAGACGAGGACTGAATATCGCAGAATCAGATTGTAACAAATTGCCTCTTCTTTTTTTTGTAATAATTTATGAGTCGTTTGTGATGTTTCAAATATATATATATATATATATATATATATATATGCAATGAAATTGATTCATGCAAAGTGTAAATAATAATATACTGCGATATAGCGTTTTCGTTTTGGCTTTGATACTGCGATGATTGGCGGATCCAAGCGTGGCTGAAGCTCAAGCCCTCACTGAATGAACACAACTTGCAGTGGCTAATGGCCGAAAACACGCGATCATTGAAAGGGACGTCACTAATTTGATTAGCAGAGTACTGCTTGGCGGTGAGGATCTGTCTGTAATTGAGTTTCATTTTCGCAACGCCCACGAACTCGACCAGAAAACCAATTTAGCCACCTTAGGCATGATTGATTCCAATCCTCCTAGCAAGGAGGATATACTATGCAAAACCATTATTCAAATTCAATACAAAAGTCTAACAGATATGATTTTGCATTACTTTATCTCCCTTGATCCTCACAAAATCTTTGGAAGAAATTAACCTCCCTTGGAGCATCCATTCCTTGTTGCAAATATTTTTTTACATCAAGTTTGTTGAAATGATAAGGAAACACCAACAAAACAACACAACATACAACAAGACACCAAGACAAATGTAAAACAGCTAGAGGAAAAGGCTCCCCTAACTCCAAGCAATGAAGTTTTCTGCTCTGTTCACATCTTGTTTTGCAAAACATCCGCCAAAGTGTTCGATTCTTTTGTAAATCTTTGCTGAACTCTCTCAATAAACCTAATGAACCACCACAGTTTACCAATTGTGAATACAATGTAGCCCATGCTCAGTCTCAGCACTAACCCACATCCATATCCAATCAGTATAGAAAATTTCCAATTCAACTCATCATCATCAGCGTCTCTATCTAATTTGGTTGGAGTTCCCTCATCATTATCACACCTTGTTGATAATGGCAATCCACATAAACCCAAGTTTTTTATGTATGATTCATTAGTGAAAGTATCAAAATTGCTTGCCTTGAGGAATGTGTCCAGTGAGATTATTTTGAGAAAGGTTTAACACGGCCAAGAATCCAAGATTTTTCAACTCTGTTGGAATTCTTCCATGGAGGTTGTTTGATGAGAGATCTAATGATTCAAGTTCTGACAATTCACCTAATGAACATGGGATAGGACCTGTTAAACAGTTATGAGACAGGTTTAGGACAATAAGTGAATGAAGCTCACCAATTGTTTCAGGAATTTCTCCAAAGAATTGATTGTTCGAAAAACCAATTACCATCCAAATGGTTAATAGTGAATGAAACTCCATTTCCAACCCTTTTGTACCAAAAGATAAACCATCCACATAATACATCGTTCCATCCGTCATTCTATCTATCATGTAATCCATTTTCAACCCTTCTTTAATGGTATGCAAATTTTCAAAAATTTTGGTAGGTAAGTAGCCACTGAAGTTATTGTGAGAAAGATCAATGACACGTAAACAAGTGAAGGAAACTACCACATCAGAATCATCCACTTGACCGTAGAATCTATTCGATCTCAAGATAAGAACTTGTAGTTGATCCACATAAAACTTTGTGGTAGTTTACCATGAAAGTTATTGTTCCGTAGATCAATTTCTAAAAGAGAAGAACTGAAGTTCCCAATGCACTTTGGGATTGTTCCACCCAAACTATTATTGTTTAAATTGAGAACTGAAAGGGCACTCAAATTGCATAGTGAGGCAGGGAATTCTCCTGCTAAGTTGTTCTCTGAAACATCATACAACTGCAATGACGGTGGTGGACTTGGGACTCGCCCTTGAGAAAATTGGAATTGAATTAGAATTGGCTGTATGAAACATGATACATGCACGAGTGTATAGTGAATAAAAACAAGGGTAAACTACACCTATGACCATTTAACTATGAGAGATTTTAATTTGACCATCGATCTTCTAATTTTGACCATTTAACTATGAGAGATTTTAATTTGACCATCGACCTTCTAATTTTTCTAATTAGATCAATTAACTATTTAAATGATGTCAATCAAGTTACATTAACATTTGAAAGAGTAGCTGACGCGACAGTTAACAAATTTGGTGTAATCATATATTTGGTCCTCTTTACTTACATATTCTATTAATTCAATAAATTTTAATTGACATAATGTGTAAGTAAAGAGGACCAAAAATGTGATTATATCAAATTTGTTAATTGTCACCTCGATTACTCAGTCAAATGTTAACGACAAATGACTTAATTGACATTATCTAAACAAAATTAAAAGATTGTCAAATGATTGCATTGAACAAAAAGGTCAAGAAAAGAAAGATGAAATCATACCTGTCAATTTGTTTTGGAAAAGAAAAAGGTATATGAGAGAAGTCAATGTTTGAAAAACAGGAGGAATTGGACCTGAAACATATAATTAAATCAATCAACTTTAAAAAATGTAATTTTTGTGAATTCATTAAGTGATTTTAGTGATAAAAAGAAATATTATTTAATAAACAAATACTATAGTATAATCATCTCATACTATTAAAAAATATAAGTTTTTGCTATAAGTCGTAATTAAGAAAACAATCGAAAACATGAATTCAACATTATCAGGTGTACTTAAAATTTTATTAATATTTTTCTGAATGGCCTTAATTTCTTTGTTGAACACTATCGGGTGTACTTGAAAAAACATGCAATTTCTGTTTAGCTTTACATGACAACTAAAAGGGATTGCATAAATGTAATATTAGAGAAGTTAAGCTTCCAATAACCGATGGAATTTTACCTGAAAAATATAATCGAATTCGTGGTAATTTAGTAGTAATATTTTTCTACAAGGCCCATAATCTCCGATAACATTGAAGAAATGTTAAAGATTATGTATTCAAGATCAAGAAAGGTATAAAACCTGAAAGAGAATTATTGTGTAAATATAACCATTTCAAGTTTGAAAGATTTCCCATGGTCATAGGAATCTGGCCTTTGAAATCATTATCAAACAAGCTCAATTTTTTTAGTTTTGACAAATTGCCCGGAGTAGATGGGATAACACCGGTGAAGTTATTGCCGTACAAAAACAAGCTTCGAAGTTGAGCAAAGTAACCAAACCATGATGGGATTTCTCCACTGAAGCTGTTGTTACTTGTTACCAAAGTTCAAATATTTCAGCTGATGCAAATTTGCTAATTCAGTTGGTAAAGAGCCATGGAAACTATTGTGACGAAAGTCGAGGGAGGCAAGGAAAGACAAACTGCCCAATTGAGATGGGATGGTGCCTCTGAAATCCATACTTGACAAATTCAAAGCAGTGACTCTGTGGTGTCTGGATCCACCGGTGATACCAATCCAATCGCAAACAGAGATAGAAGTAGACCAGTTGGTTGCTAAGAGATTGTATGGATCATGACTTATATGAGATTTTAGTTCTAGAAGGGCCGATTGATCGGTGGTGGCGTTTGATGAATTCACAGAAAAAATAGCCCCATAGTTTGCAAATAGCAGCAGAAACATAAGAGGAAGGAGGAAACTAGTTTTCGCCATAGTATTCGACCCAGATTGTTGAAAACCACATAGGTGGAAAAACTTTAAATCATTGGTTCCATATGAATGGTCCCGACAATGTTGAAAGACATGCAACTCCTAGAAAAAAGTTTAAGCTTAATCTTAGTTTGATTTGAGGGGAATATGTCAAACTCATTAATTATATGTTGACAATGGCGACCTTTCTTTTCAATTCAAGTTTACAGTGTCGGTCAATCGAAGCCACTGCGACTCAGCCCTGCAGAACAAGTAAAAGACAGTGAAACATCCGGAAGGTGCCGGTTAATTAAGAGAGTCTAGTTGCTTATCGAGTGAGGAGCAGAATTCTACTCATGTTTGTTAAAAAAAAATTATTGTTCTATTCAACTCGTTGTTTATTAAGTATGGTAAAATTTTATTCAAATTGTACTTATAAAAAAATTGTTATTTAACTCAATTCATTGCTCATTCGAGTGAGGAGCAGTATTTTGAGTTGTTAAAAAATTACTTAGAAAATTTTTGGATATCCAATATCTAAAAATACACACCCCTAGATGATATATCGATCATTATGATCAACCTTTGCAATATATCAAGAAAATTCAAGTACCAATCCTTTAAAATTAAGGTTGCAATAACATTGTTATATATTAATTCAAATTTTAATTGATAATAATATTAAATTTTATTATAATTCTAATAGGTAAAGTTTAGTTCGAATTACATTTATTTCGATATGAATCCTTATATAATAAAGATTCTTAGTGTACTTAGTTTGTTTTTCTATAAATAGAAGGTATGTTTAAATTTATAAAATTATGTGAAAAAATTATTTTTAAGAGATGTATTTTTTTTTATCTATGCAATTTTTTTTTGAAAAAGGGGTACTTTGTATTAGATAAACACAGAAGTACACCACTCCAAGGACCTCCTTAAAAAACCTCCCTAAGCCTATGTGGAGGAAAAAGAGTAACCTTGGAGTGGAAACCAATCAGCCAAAGTCTCAAATACATCACAGCAAGAGTCCGACTCTGCACCACTAAAACAACCCATAACAACCTAAATAATCTGCAGACTACACACTGAATGAAACACTAACAAAACTTAAGCACAGTCAAACAGGACCCAAATCGAACTACAGCCTCAAAATAAAAACCATTAAAGCCACAACCTTACTGATGTAAGACAAGAATCAAAACCTCAAACACCTTCATGAAGACGAGAACAATAGAAAAAACAATAGCCTTGCTTAGTACGGAGCTGAAGCTTGATGAATGGGAACCAACGAACAACAAGGAACTTGATCAATAAAGGAGCATCCAAGACTTCTCAGCTCTGCAAATTCCACCCCAAAGCAACGGCAGCCGCTAGAGCCAACTCAGCTTCATCATAATCGCCTCGAACTCCCTCATAATACACTTCATCTCTGCCTCTAACAAGATTGCATCTGCTACTAACGTTAGGCCAACCACCCCGACACCTACGATCAAAGGTTTTCCTCTTACCAAAGATGAGTCTTGACGATGCTCTCAGACTGACCCCACACGCCCACCTTCTTCTAGCCTTAGAAACTCTCACAATACCCGGACTGGGAAGAATATGTCTCTTAATATTAACGCAATTAGCTACCGGATGATCGTCATCCAACACGAGGGGAGAAGACACCTCAAAAGCCACTTCAAAAAACCCAGTACTGGTGGGGATGGGTAGAGACGCCCATGCTGGATCCAATCCCCTATTGATATTAATAAAACTTGCACTATCGTCGACAACATGCTGCTCACTACTCCACTCCACTTTATCAGCAGCAAGTTGTCCCCCATCATCCATAAAACCATTAACTTTATCAATAATATCATGCTCCTCATGCAGTCCATTAACAGAGAAGAAAGGCACAATATGGAGCCCTGCACAGTCCACGTTGTCCACAACAAGCTATCCCCCATCCTCCAAACATCCAATGGTTTCGACGCAACTCTGACTCACCAACTTTCCATGATCGTGCACGACAGAACCCCCCACGATACCACCTCCTGCAGCACCCACCATCTCGAAGATAGAAGAGATTGAACCTTCGTCAACCTCCGCACAACACGCTCCACCAACCACCTTGGTTTCCTCAAGAATTCCTTTCGCCTCTCCCAGCATTTCAGAATGAACGATAATGGAGAAAAAATGACCATCAACGACAATGAAAAATTTGTCTGGAATAGATGATAAGGAGTGCACTTCCAACAAAACTCTAGCAACATCAAACTTAACTCGATTTACAGTATCATCATCTATCTTAAGCACTCGACCCCACAAGCTTCCAATGGCATGAATAGATGAGCACTCCAAATCGAAGGAGGAACATCTAACAGCGAGACCCACACTTTATATTTTAGCCTATTAACATAACCCTCCAACATATCCAACTCCTCAAACCAAGAACGAATCCAATCGTCTCTTTTAACCCAACAAGCTTGACAATCAGTAGTATTCTTGAATTGGATAATCAGCAAACGGTCTTGCCAGTAACTAACCTTAACATCTAAACCTTTAACTTTGAAAGCTGATTTAATAACATTCTCATCAACCCTGTTCTTAACTATGCCAACCAAGCTACTTTCCTTCCAAGAAAGCTCACACTTAGAGATTATAACACTCCTACAATCCACAGAAGGAAAAGCAGAAGAACTAGCTTCACACTCATCAGCTACCCTAACATTAACAACTGCATCAGAACCGCTATGAATCTCAACCTTCTTACCAACACAATTCAGAACCGACAACCCACCTTCTGGCATCGTACCTCCCTCAACCTATTTGGATGACCTATCGACCCTAAAAGCTGGCTTCCAAACCTTATGATGACTGCAAACCTCCTTTACCTTCTTACCACGACTATCAGAAAAATATTCATGAAAAACTCTGATCTTGAAGCCATCCAACACCATTCCATCAGCTCTCTTTACCGCCAAGATTTCTTCAAGTCTAGTGGCGTCCTTTAGACATAGTGTTCAACCCTAGTGGCATCGAGATACTTTCAATCTATCTCCCCATGCTCATCGCCGACAACGACAATGTGGTTGCAAGTTTAGATCAATTTAGAGATATGTTCAAGGTCAGCAATGTTTACTCATGCAACCCAGGGTTTTTCTTCTCAAGTGATGAATGGGAAATAATTGGCAGAAACTACCAACGATTTGTATTCAATCGTCGAGAGAAGATTGCACAGAAGAATTCTAACGTGAAAAGACCTCAAAAAGATGTGCATGAATCAGAAGGAGATGGTTTCTGGAGATCTTCTACATGTGAAAAATCTGTTCAGATCATCATGGAGGTTAAGATCGCTTTCCTTAATGGAGACCTAGATGAGGAAATTTACATGGAACAACCTGAGGGTTATATAGCTCCAAGACAAGAAAAAAAAAAGCATGTAAGTTGGTAAAGTCATTTTATGGACTTAAGCAAACACCAAAGCAATGACATGAACAATTTTATAGTGTTATGATATCAAATGGATTTAAAATAAATGAGTGATAAATGTGTGTATGTCAAAACCACTGTTGATGGATATGTAATCCTATGCCTATATGTTGATAGCATACTCATTGTTGGAAGTAACGATGAAATGATAAAACGTACCAAAAATATGTTAAATTCAAAATTTGACAAAGACATGGGACTTGCTGACATGATATTGGGCATCCAAATCAAAAGGTCATCTGAAGGTCTCATATTCACTTAGTCACACTATGTAGACAATATTCTTGAAAATTTTGGGAAAGATGATTGATATGATCTCGATTATGAGTTTCGAATCATATATATGATTGTCCGATCGTGTTTCTAGTATGAAATTAAATTGCTTGCTTTGAACGGAAGAGGATGGAAGTTGTAGTTTGGATGTTGGATGTAGTGAAAGTATGGCGAAGGTATGGGTTGGTAATGGTGTGGAATATGAAAAATGGATTAAAAAGAAAATGAATTGTGACCCTCTAACTATATGGAGTTAGGAACCAACAATATAAATAGATGGAATCAAAATGGAAGTAGATGGAACTTGACTCACTAGCTATAGATGAGCTAGGAAACAACGCTATAACAAAAGGAAATGGATGAAGACAACAAGACTATCTTGAAGCCGATAAAGTTCTACAAGAGAAAAAGAATGAAAGAAACCTCTCAAAGATGTTTATATATTCAAATGTGTCTACAAATGATCCCAAAGGTTCCTATTTATAGTATTTCTAAGCAGCATATGAAAAGACTCAAAAGATGAAAACATTCTCATCAATTTAGCAATAAAATGCACTTGAATGCTTTGTCTTCTTATCTTCAAGGTTGGCTTAATATTCTAGATCATTTTGGGGATGAATCTAGACAATTTGAAGCTGAATTTGGCCTTAATTTCGTTCAAGGGGTGGTAGACTCTTGCTATTCCATTATGAAAATTGTCTTAATAAGTGAATTAAATGACCCTTCATTGTATGCTCCCTTGAAGAATATGAACAGCCCTTGAATTTAGAGTATAACAATCAGCTTTGAATGCCTTGAATGGGTGAATTAAAATTCCTTAAATGGCTTGTCACTTGGCTGAAGTTGAAAAGGCTCTCCCTTGGCTCAAACTCATCCAAATCATCCATGCATAAAATTTCCGTAACAAAATTCCAGCCTGCACTCTCTTCAATAAATCGATCATATCTCAAGCTCCCAATATCGGATTAAGGTGATTCAAAAGGCGTTGGAAAGATAAGAGATAGAAGAATAATTTAAAATTGATTTATAGAACCAAACACGTCTGTATTGCATCCAGAATTGGAAGACATTCTGACTGACATTCTTGCATATGATGAAACCGTTCAACTTCTCTCATGCACCTAGACACAAAGGTGAACTTTATTCAATATTTAATTGAAAACATGCATGAAACAATTAAGAGTTAATTTAATAAATGAACTAGTTTAATTAATGAACTACTTCCCTAAATGAACTACATGATTTAAATGCAATACATGATTTAAATGCAATGCATGCTTGAATGAACATCACACTCATTAAATGCAATGAATGTTATGCAAACTTCAAATTCTCATGCAAATTCATGCATAAGCAACGTAAAGTGTTCCTCCCTTATTATTCCTCCTTCATCACGTTCCAATCTTGATGTAAACATACTCTCCATGGCTGCTTGAAACTCCTTAGCCCTTGCTCATGTGATGGGGCCACTTGGGTACTTCTCCGGATCTTTGCTATTGGCAATCATATAAATGATTCTGGTGTGGCCAAAACTCCAATAGATACAAGTCAACATCTATATAAAAATAAAGGTGAAAGTGTTAACCAAGTGGAATATGCAAGTATCATAGGCAGTCTAATGTCCTTATGAGTTGCACTAGATCTGATATTGCTTTCACTTTAAGCAATTTAAGCATATTTACATGCAATCCAGGGGAGAAACAATGGAAAGCAATTGTGAGGTATTGAGATATCTTAGATATACTCAAAACTCTAGATTTCATTATTCTAGAGATCCTGCTGTGTTAGAAGGATTCTCTGATGCTAGTTGGATATCTGATATTCAAGATAGCAAAAGACACAAGTGGTTATATTTTCACATTGGGAGGAGGAGTTATTTCATGGAAATCCTCAAGACAAATAATTATAACCAGATCCACGATGGAATCTTAGTTTGTAGCATTGGACAAAACTGGAGAAGAGGCATAATGGTTATGCAATTTTTTTGAGGATATTCTTGAATGGCCAAAGAATATACCCAAAATATGTATATATTGTGATAACCAAGCAACAATTGGTAGAGCACAAAATGTAATGTATAATGGTAAGTCGAGACACATGCGACGTCGACACAATATCATTAGACAACTGATCTCACTTGGAGTTATCTCTATTGATTTTGTAAGATCAAAAGATAACATTGTGGACTCGCTAACCAAAGGGTTGAATCGAGATCAAGTTGATAAAACATCAAGAGAAATGAGACTAAAGCCCATGAATTGTTAAGGCTCTATTTGAAGGAAAACCCAACCTAGTTGACTGGAGATCCCAAGATCTAGGTTCAATGGGACAACCTACTTGCATAGACCTTGTGAGGTCATTGTGGGGGGTTATCCCCAAGTCCATTCCTATGATAAAAACAATGACTAAAATGTGGATGAGGTTAAGCAATGCTTTTAATGACCAATATGTGTTTCGTTGAACCAAACAACATAAGTCATCTATGTGAGAGTGAAGTGAAGCCGCTTCAAAGAGACTATTGGGGCATAGTTCTCTAAGCTCTTGCATAACCAGGAAATGTTCACGGCTATATATGGACATTACCATGAGAACCAAATTCTTGTCAGTGAGATATTTATGTGAGCTATGTCATCGCTTACACAAATGGTAGAACAGTTCAAGGACATCATGTCTACTGGACAGCCAATAAGGTAAACATATTTTCACAAGAGAAGGTTCATAGGGGGACGCCTACCTATCCTATGCAAATTTTGAACGTAGAATCTATCACCACATCGAGTCAATGTTTTAAACATTCAAATTCATTCATGTGGGGGATTGTTGGAAAAATATGAATGAATTGATTTATTCAATCATGACTATTCAACATCTCTATTCATGAAAAATAGTTAAGTCTTTTCATGAAAAATAGTTAATTCATTTCACCCAAAAAGTCAGGTCTTTTCATGTTAACCTTTTCATCAAAAGGTTAAATTGTTTAATCAAATTCTTAAGTCATTTTATTTAAAGGTTTTAACCTTTCAATACAAATTCCTCTTCCTATATAAAGGCTAAGTTGTGACACATCTCAGCACACAACTTTTTCATTTTTCTTTCAAATACTTTCCTTTTAAATCTTCGATTCTTCCAAAGTCATTTTCTGGTGATAGATAAAGACAAAGATTGTGTTCGATTGTTCACTACGCTTGTGGTTATTGTTGTGAACGTTTGTTGTTGTATCTTGGGAGACCGACGTCCAACGTTACTCAAAGCACCGAGGAGAGGACGAATATATCTTAAGGAAACTGTTCATACAGGCCTCAACAAAACTCTACTTCTATTTATTCAGTTCCATCTGATTACAGGTTCTATTCTAATTTCACAATTTTTTTAACTATATTATTGCAACGGAATTTTTTTAGATTATCATACTACAACCCTAATTTTCAATATTTGCAACAGGGTATCAAGGCTAATTCAGATGGAGCTGTGAGATCAAACAATAGAAGGGTCGCTGCTGGTGGATTGCTGTGAAACGCCGATGGTGCTTGGATCTTCAGGTTTACTTGAAGCATGGGGAGATGCTCAATTCTCGTGGCCGAGTTCTGGGCAATTCATGACATCTTAAGCCATGTTTGGAGGTTAGACATTCGATACATGGAGGTAGAAACAGATATTCTTGAGGCTTCAAGAATTTGTAACAGAGATTCAGAGGTGTTAGCACGGAGTGCCTTGGTAGCTGCTTTCTTGGAGTTTTGGGATCGAGAATGGAGGATAAAATTATGACATATTCATAGGGACCAAAATACTTCAACTGATCGTATGGCTGCTTTGAATCGCGGAGCTTTCATCGATGGGTTTGAATTCACATATCTCCACTAGAAGTTATGGCCATTCTGAACAAGGATATTTTTGGTTCTAGTTAATTACTAGTGGCTTCTGTATTATAAAAAATAATCATTCATCATTAATAAGTAATAATTACGTTTAATTTCTGAATTTAATTGATTAATCATATTTTTATATAATTAATCAATAAATTATTTTTTCATTTCGACAACTAATATGATATTCATAATTTAATTGTAACATTTGGACCAAATTTGAAGAGTTATAAAATTAAAGAATTATGTGAGTTATAATTGAATAAAAATATTATAATAATTCTTATACAACATTTGCATTTTGATACCCCTACTAATAAATAAACAAACAAACAAATAAATAAATAAATATTTGTTCATCTTCGATGGAGTAAAATTGTTCCACCATCAAATTTATGTGAGTTCAACCATTCTATCGTTAAGGACTGACGTTGCATTTTACATAGATTACAAATCACAATTAAGCCAAACATATATTTTTTATTTACTCCTACTAGTTACTCTATTTAATACTTAATATCAAAATAACATATCTAACATTCAATTAAATCCAAGCAACGCTGGAGCCATCCTAAGCAAAGTCTCAAGTGTATTCGGATGAAACTTCCTGGCAAAATGGAAGCAAATCGAGCGTGTCTGACCATTATAACTGCAATCAAATCCTTGCCTAATTCGATTCAGCAATTCCATCGATACATCTTTTCTCACATACTGTGTGGGGTGTGGACCACCTTTCGACCAATCGACCCAAGTGATGCTCCGATTCGTGTTAAGCTCCGGCGAGATTTTGTTGACAAGAGTCGGCACGTAATGTTCATCTACGTAACATGGAGGGTTGCAATAGTTTCTGAAGAGAGGGTAGTAAATTTCATCTGATATTATATTTAGGGTGAGCTTTCGATTAACCTCGAACCATTGCGACCCTCTTCGCCAATCGGCCAATGAGACCTTCGGCAACATCCGCTTGTTGTAACGGCCGTGGCCGGTTGGCCTCGGATCATCGAACGAACCGATGAAGCTTTGGTTGGTGTGGATGAGGTAGTTGTAAACGGTGGTGAAGTTGACTAGCGGGATGCATGCTTCTGAGAGCAGCACGAATCTTTCGTTGGCGCAGTCCAGCAACGCATTGGCTAACAGCCGTCTCTCGGCATCTACCATTGTCGCGCTTCTCCACTGAACAGGCTGCAAAAGAGAATCGAATTTACATAGGAAAAAACTCGAATTGTATACTTATATGAATCGAATAATCCAATCAGCCTCGTTTACACACTGTTCTATAGTCCTCATTTCTTAAATCTCACCTTACTTGGTATCTTGCGCTTGTAGAACATCGATGTTACGGATGGCTCATCGACGAACTCCGGCGATTTATGAATGTAAATGGAGTAAAGCCCTTCATTTCCCATGAAGAACTTTTCCCAAAGGGGTGCTAAAGGCAGCGACCCCCTGCTTAAAAACATGAAGGCTACCTTCGGGGTCAGGTTTTCTGAGGATTCGGTAACATTTGGACATACGACAACGGCACGTCGCATCAGCTCCCGATCATCTGTCACGGAATGCAACGTGCCGTTGTGGTCCGGGGCGCCTATCAAAGTTTTCGATTCCAAAGAAGAGTTAAAAGGTGGGTGGGGAAGGGATGATCGGAAACCAAAGTTAGAGAAAATGTACGAATACGGAGAGCTCATCGGTGGCGGAGCAAATCGGTTAAGTTTTGGGAAGCAAGACGAGGAGCCTTTAGAGACCAACAACTTCAATGTGAAAGTCCCGAGAACAACCACAAAAGAAGTCATTGACAGCAGAAACAATGACGTTATAGTAATATGAAACTTTCTTCTAATGCGAGAGTAGAGTTCCCTAACGAAACCAGTCATTTCAAACCGCTTAATCATTTTTGACACGGAAAATTAGGACCGAAAACGATGGTTTAAAGTGGTGGAGTTTAGGGTAAGACCTAAAATCGTATGTAAATCCATGAATGATCACATTAATGGTGCCATTAAAAGCTAATATGCCTGATTTACAAACTTTACAGCAATTTCTTGTAAATGTAGATAAAAGTGAGGATTAAGCTAACTTGAATTAAAAACAATAATAAATTAAGATCTAACGTCGGATAACAGAAGTTTAGGCGTTACCGTGGTAGATGTGCATGAAATGAGCTGCTGCTGCATATTTGGTCACGCTACTGGAATGTACAACCATGTGTGGTAGAGAGCAAGAATTTAGGTTCGGTGTCGTGTCCTTTACTATTTTTTTAAAGTAAGGTGGAATTAATGTGATTTCACATTTTTCTATATATTATACATGTAGAAGGTAAGTATTGATGAAGTGAATAGCCTAACCTTACGTGTACGATGACCTTATGAGGTTTGGCGGGTAGCGCCTTATCCCATGGATTGGGTGAGCTCCATCTTGTCATTTTTTGTTAGAGGTGGTTGGTGACTTAGGCTAGGTAGTTTCATGTAACATATATACAGAAATTAAATTACAGTAGTTATTGAACAAATCAAATTATCCCAGTAGTTAAAGGAATAATTATTATTCTTGAATATTGAAATTAAGTCTACTTTATATTTTTGATATAAAAATTCTTTCAAACATGATATTTTGAGTTGAATGTTTTTTCACATATTTCATAATGATATGAGTGATTAAATTATAATATTTATTTAATTTTTTTAATAAATTAAGAATATATATACGTCATATAAACGTAACTATTTAAATATAAAAACTCTAAAAAATATCATTTAAAAGATATTCGTATTTCTCTTTTATGATTAAATTACTCGGATATTTGTAATTGAAAAAGCAAATTAACCTCCCTAAAAATATAAAATTTTAGAGTCCGTTTCATTTAGAAAATAAAAAAAACTGAATAAAATAATAGTAATTATAAAATTAGAATATAAATTCTAAAAAGTAAGAATATAAAAAATAAAATGATTTACAAGTACGTATTCAATTTTTTAATAAAAATATTAATATTTAAAATTAAAGAAAGATTATGTTTTTGGCGGCAAAACAATGATAAGGTTGCAAAGTACTCATCTTTCAAAAAAACAAAACAATGAAAAGGTACCTTCTGTTCATTCTCGACGTGTAGATCTCTAAAAAATATATAAATTAAAAATATTATATCAATTGAACACTTAAACTCAAAATTATGATCTTTCAATGTTTTACAATATAAATGTAATTTAAATACCAAAATTTTTAATTTTTTAAATTTATTATTTTGTATTAAATAGATAATTTTAAAATTCTTGTTTTAGTTTGTACTTTTTGGATAAATCAATTTCATTACCCAAGAAGCAGGAAATCTTGCTACAGTAAACAAAGTCGATAGACAGCACAAAAGAACAAGGGAAAAAACACAGAGAACAACCAGCTAGCTATAGCAGAACAATAAGATTCAAGTAATGCCACAGTTAGAACACAGAGCGATATTAGACAGATCAGACCGGTTAAAAGCTTTGCCCACCAGCCGGATACGGATGGCCTCCTTGATGTCACCTAGCACTTCCTCCTTCGATCTTGCTCTATTCCCAAACAATCTGTCATTCCTCTCTTTCCATATACCATAAATGTGCCCAGACCAGGCGAGCTTAAGAATCCCCACTATGAGGGAGTTACCCTTGAATAGAAGGGTGGCCCACGCCAGTTCACTAACCCAGCTGCAAGCTCCACGAGAAATGCAGCAGAACTCAAAAATTGATTCCCAAAGCTCTTTAGCAAATTGGAAATCAAAGAAAATATGGTCCCTTGTCTCTGCCTCCTCACCACACAGCAAACATTTATCAGTTTCTATAGCCAAGCCCATACGCTGGAGTCTAACCCGAGTAGGAAGTCTGTTTAAAATGGCCATCCAAACAATAATATTATGTTTGGGAATACGTCCCAAGAACCAAACTAGGTGGTGCCAAGGGACCTTGAAAGCAGGGGAACACAATTTGTCCCAGATGTATCGCGTACTAAACTCTTGGACTTGACTCACAAGGATGGGAGCAACCTCATGCCTAATTTTCAGCAGGTACTTAAAGCTCTAGCTAGCATTTTTAGGGACTTCCATCTGCCAGAAGTTAGCGTTTCTAATAACCTAAGAGTGCATCCACGCCACCCAAAGAGAGCCATCATTAGCGAGAAGCTTTCTGATTAGCTGAACAGAACAGGATTTGTTCCAACCTCCTACGTCGTGAATCCCCAGTCCACCTTCTGATTTCGTCAAGCAGATGGTTTTCTAGCTTACTCGTGCACCTTTAGCAAGAAAATCAGACCCTTTCCAGAAGAACCGAGAGCACAACTGCTCAACCTTCCTAATAATTTCTTGAGGAAGAATAAGTTGCCTGCTCCAGTAGCTAGAGATACTGAGCAAAACAGAACGGACAAGCTGCAACCTGCTAGCGAAGCTGAGGTGCTTGCTGGCCCACGAGCTAAGCTTTGCTCTAATTTTATCGATGAGACTTTGGCAATCTTTCACAGATAATTTCCTGGTTATTAATGGGACACCCAAGTATCTCACTGGGAGACTACCCAATTTGAAACCCATGCTCTCTTTGATGATACTGATTTACTCATCAGGGATACCAGCAGTGAATATCTCACACTTACTAGCATTCAGCTTCAGCCCTGACATGGAATAGAAATGGTCCAACACAGCTTGCACTCCCATGATAGAGTCAATAGTACCCTTGCAAAAAATGAGGAGGTCGTCCGCAAAACAGAGATGAGTGAGCCCAATCCTCTTGCACTTAGGATGAAAGCTAAAGATACCCTTCGTAGAAGTCGTATTAAGGAGACTAGACAAGACATTCATTGCTAGGACAAAGATGTAGGGTGATAGGGGGTCACCCTGCCGCACTCCTCTTGCTCCTTTAAAATATCCTACAAGACTACCATTGAAAACAATGGAGTATCTAGGATTTGCAAAACAGGCCCGTGCCCAACCAATGAACTTCTCAGGTATTCCCATGGCATGCAGAATCACATCAATGAACTCCCAGCTTAAGGAATCAAAAGCCTTTTGGAGGTCTATCTTAAGAGCACATCTAGGGGAAATCTTACTTCTAGAGTAACCCCTAACAATTTCTTGTGCAAGTAGGGTGTTGTCAACTATACTTCTACCCTTCACAAATGCAGTTTGGTTCAATGCGATCATATCAGGGAAAATAGATGAGAGACGGTTTACTAGGATTTTTGTAACAGTTTTATAAACCACCGTACAACAGGATATGGGCCTGAAATCCTTCACTAAGCTAGGATTAGGAATCTTAGGGACAAGTACCACAGCAGTAACATTGAATGAAGGGAGCATAAAAGAGTGATCGAAGCAGTACCTGATTGCTGCCAAGAAATCCTCGCCAATAATAGACCAAGTCTTTTTGTAAAAGAAGGCATTATAGCCATCAGGGCCAGGTGACTTGTTATCCCCTTGTCCCCATAAGGCCTCTTTGATCTCAGTCTCAGAAACAGTCCCGCAAAGACTATTTGCAGCTTCACTTGACAAGGAGAAGCCAAGAAGATCCTTAATAATGCTAGCAGAAGTGGCTTTAACCTCGGGGTCAGCCACACCAAGTTGGTTAACAAAGAATCTAGTCACTTCATTAGACATATCTTCAAAAGTGTCAAGCCTGGAACCACTTGGATTGTAAAGAACTCTAACTGTACTGCTTTTCCTTTTAGTGGCAACTATGGAGTGGAAAAATTGAGTACCCTGGTCCCCCTCCCTAATCCAATCAAACTTTGCTTTTTTTCTTGTAGAACAGTAGCTTAGCCTGCTCAAGGATCTTCAACTCCTTCTCGACTACCAACTCAACATTAATGTTACTTCCAGTAGTTGTCGGATCGAGGTTAGCAAGCTGAAGAATCTTTAATTTTTCCCTTTTCTCCCTTACTTGTCCAGATATGTCGCTGTAATTATTCCTGTTAAGCTCTTTAAGACGCATTTTCAGCCTTTTAAGTTTTAAGTGAATACACTGAGCTGGATTAGCATTAGCCGGGGCTGGGACTTGCCAGGAGTCCTTGACTAAGGACATGAAATCAGGATGCATGGCCCAGAAATTAAAAAATTTGAACGGTTGGCTTGGCAGCAGGAACTTCTTTGTGAAGCCAAACAAGAGCTGGGCAGTGATCAGAATCACCCGGAGCCTGAAACTCAACATCAGAGGCAGGAAATGCTACAGACCAAGCTGGATTAACAAGAACCCGATCCAACTTGCGAGCTAAGTGAGTGTCCTGCTGCTTGTTAGTTCAAGTAAACAATGGACCTGTATAAGGGTGATCTATAAGCCCCAAGTCCTCAACACAGCACTGAAAATCAACCATGTCGACTAAGGTTCCAGAGTTGATTTGAGCAGAACTTTCCTCAGCATTGAGGATGACATTAAAGTCACCACCAATTAGCCAAGATCTATTATCCACAAAGGCATCCATGGAGCAAAGTTGGGTCCAAAGGCGCTTACGAGAGGAGCCATCATTCAAGCCATATACAACAATAAAGAAGAAGTCCATACCCCTAAAACAACTTTTAATTGTGATGCTTTGATCAAAAGTAGAAATAATGGAGAAGACGACATAACTTTTCCAAAGAACCCAAATACGACCATTATCAGCAAAACCATAATTGCAGCAATACTGCCAGTCATTAAACTTACTTGACAGTATAGCTAAGGATTTATTCTCCTTCACTCTAGTTTCCAGAAGGCAAAGGATACTAATTTGATTCTTGACAGCCCAGTACAGAACCTTTCCTTGCTTGAGGGGATTGTTAAAACCCCTAGTGTTCCAAAAACAGATTAGCATGGAGCAGGGGTAGAGGAAGAAGCACCCCCTCTTTCCTCTAGTTTCTTTACTTTATCCACATGCTCTTTCTTTTTCATTTTTAGTTCCT